TCGTTTGTCATAGCACGTACGCACCTAAAACATCAGCTGAAAAATCCTAAAATATCAATAGACTTTGAGAGGAGGAATGGTCGAGACTTTTGGTCAACACTGTATATGATCATGGAAACCTCAGTCTTATTTCACATATCTCTCTTAAACACATTTTCAAGACTTAGTTTCTATAGAATGCAATTGTGATTAAAGTGTAGAAGACATTATTCAGACAAGCATTTGGTCGTAAATTTTACTTCGACAAACAGCTATTGCTTCTTCATCAATTGGAAAACAATTTTCCAGTATATGTAGTGCTTGATCATATTTGGATAGTTTTTGTTCAATATCATTAATTACATCTGCAGGTACCAAATGTATTTGAGCAATATTTCGATGAATTCCACCCAATAATTCACATTGAAGAACAAGATTTTCGTTAGAAAATTGTATAGCTGCATCGATATTGTTCATTTTCTTGTATAGTCTCATAATCCTTTCAAAATATGTTATTACACGAGGATGTTCTAGTGGCATCACTTTTTTGGCCATATTATAGCCCCGATGATAATACTCCATAGCACAATCAAATAAAGATTGTTTTTCAAATTGATTCCCAATTTTCATTAGTGTTTTAGATATTTCAAAATGTTCACATGGAAAAATACGTTGGAACATTTCTAATCCTCTTATTAAATAATCGAAAGCATTTTGATAATCATCTAAATCAGTATACATGTCCCCGATAGAAATTAAAGCAATAGCAATATTAGTATGATCTTTGTCGCAATAGTTCATTTCTCTTATTGCTAAGGCTTTTTTGAAAAGTTTCAGTGCCCGATTGGGATAACCATTTCGTTTATGATCCCACCCAAGATTAACACAAGATTGAGCGATATATAAATGATTTGGTGGTAATGTTTGTTTTAGTATATTATGTGCAATTCTGCCATATTTCAGTACCTGATCATACTGGCGTCTTTTATAATATATATAGCCAAGACCATGGTATAATAATGGAATATCATCGTGACCTTCTGGTAGAGTATTAATAACAAGTCTATGATAGAACTCTGCTTTGGAGAATTGTCCCATATCGATAATTAATTCTCCAAACAATGCTGTTGGGGTGGTTTCTTCTAAATCCTCTTTCATCAAATCAATATGCGTTTGAATATATTCTAATCCTTGATCTGTTGCAGTCATTTGAACACGCCACTTTTTAAACTGAAAATCGTAAAACATCCTGTTTAATTTAAATGTTGCACCAAGGCTGAATATAACTTCTTTTTCATCTGGAAAACGACTATACCGTTCGATAGCAGCTGCAAAAATCACTGATCTAGGTCTTGTGATCGTTCGATCGATGCTTATTTCAAATAGAACGCTTTTTGGTTCATCGTTACCAGCGAACATTAATGCAACATTAAGATCTTCTGACGTCGAAAAAAATCCATTTGGTGATATTAAATGTCCAATATATTTTATAAGTTTATCTATTTCTTGTTTAGACATCATTTGACCTCGATACAATTTAAGATAATGTGATTGTGGTGATAATGATAAATAACATTCACTCTCATGTTCGATTTGTTTACATAAATCAATAATATAAAATCCAAATAAATGTAACAGAGAAAAGTCTTCTATTCGTAAAGCTTTATTCAATAATTTATGAACAAAACTGTCCTCAGTGTACCAACGAATTGCATCTGAAGATTGATATGTCTCTTCGAATTGTTTTATTCTATTTAGTTCACGATCATTTGTTTGATAATAATGTTTACATACATCAATCATTTGTTGTTTCGCTTGAGCTGTTTGTGGCAATTCTTTTAAAACATTAATTAATTTATAAAACAATAGAAATGAAGCTGGATTGCATTCGAGAGCACGTATTGAATGTTGGTAATTATTATCGATGAAAACAAATCCTATTATTTGTTTTGAAATATGATAAGTACGAGTTTTAATAGATTTTATTAATAAGTTTTGATCAATAAAAATAGCAACAATTTTCGAATATTGATCCAAATCAATGTTACGTGGAGTGTCATTCGTAGAAAAAATAAATATTGAATGAACGGTGTCTCATAAGTGAATATGAGGTAAAATAGTTTTAGCTAAATTATTGGATATGATAAGAAATACTTTTTCATTAACAACTGATTGAATATAATTCATACATAGTTGAGAATCGGTATATAATAGAACGTAATCAATGAATTGACGCAACGTATTCAATGTTTGTTTAAAATAATCTGCATCATCGATATTTTCATCTAACCAAATTAGTGTTATAGCCTCTTTGTTTTCTGGAATATCATCACGATGAGAATCTCGACGTGACATTTCGCTTATGCAATCGATATTGTGCAGTTTCTGTATGTCATTCTTCATCTAGAATTACACTAGAGTCTATTTTAACACATATTGGCTTCTTTCAGTAGAAATGTCACATTGTTATTACCGTTAGTAATGTCGGAATTAAAAAGAAAAAGCCATCCATGAAAAAGAACGGTTAAGAACGCGTTTTTGGCAAAATGAAACGCGTCGTATTGATTAAGGATGCGTTCTCAGAGAAAAAGAATGCATTCGAATGCATTCTACAAAAGAGAAACGCTTTTCGTGGGAAAACGCGTTTTCCCACAAGGGTATGGGTGGGTGTGGGGTGTGGGTGGGTGTGGGTGTGGGGTGTGGGTGGGTGTGGGGTGTGAGTGTGAGTGTGAGTGTGAGTGGGGTGTGTGGGTGTGAGTGTGGGGATGTGTGTGGGTGTGGGGTGTGGGGTGTGAGTGGGTGTGAGGGTATGGGTGTGAGTGTGGGTGTGAGTGTGGGGATGTGGGTGTGTGTGAGTGTGTGGGTGTAAAGTGTGGAGTGTGGATGTGGGTGTGATTAGGACTCTTCCCTGCTCCCAATCACACTAACATCCACACACTAATACCGACACCTACAATAATTCACGGCACATAAACACGACGCATTTAAATTTAACACGCACATACCCGACCACAAGAAACTTATCAATGAAGCTAGGATCCCTTTATATCTGAATGATAAATAACTACTGTCCGTTTCAAAATAAAAGGCACCTCACTATTTTTCGAATAACGCTTGATAGGAACAAGATAGAGAGCTGCGGTTTTCACCATTCAAAAGAGCAATGTCCGGACCGTCGATCGGTATAAAACTCATTAAGGCGAAACTTGTTTTTTTTATGAAAGCTTTTGGATCAACATTTTTTCCTTTGAACACTTTGATCAATTTTTTACAATAATCTCAACTCAAATTATGTCAAAATGTAGCTCAAATCATCCTTTTTTCGCCATAAAATGGTCACATATTTCAATATGTCTCAACCTCCTATTCTAAGCGAATTTTAAAAAACAAATGTTAATTTTATAGCGAAAAAAGGATGGTTTGAGCTACATTTTGACATAATTTCAGTTGAGATTATTGTCAAAATGGATCAAAATATTCAAAGGAAAAAATGTTGATCCAAAAGCATTCATAAAAAAAGCAAGTTTCGCCTTAATGAGTTTATACCGATCGATGACCCGCACATTGCTCTTTTGAATGGTGAAAACCGCAGCTCTCTATCTTGTTCCTATCAAGCGTTATTCGAAAAATAGTGAGGTGCCTTTTATTTTGAAACGGACAGTAGTTATTTATCATTCAGATATAAAGGGATTCTAGTTTCATTGATAAGTTTTTTGTGGTCGGGCATGTGCGCATTAAATTTAAATGCATCGTATTTATGTGTCGTGAATTATTGTGGGTGTGGGTATTAGTGTGTGTGTGTGTGTGTGGATGTTAGTGTGATTGGGTGCAGGGAAGAATCCTAATCACACCCACACACTCACACCTTCACACCCACACCCACACACCCACACCCACACCCACCCACACCCCACACACTCACACACACCCACACCCACACCCTCACACCCACACCCCACACCCACCCACACCCCACACCCACATCCTTACCATCATCAAATAAAAGAAAGTTTTAGAAAAGATAATATATTTTATAACTCTTTGAATAGTATTCAATTCATTTTAGGAGAGTAATCTTCTTTCATATTAAAGCGTTTGAATATGAAACGTTATAACCATGACAAAAAGATCATTAAATCATGCCAGTAATTTATTAGCAATTTTCAAATTGTTATATATTTTCATCGCTTAATTTTATGATTATTTATAAAAGCTAATAATTAATTGTTATTATCTAATAATGAAACAAACATATTACGAGAAATTTTTCTGTCTATTTTTGCTTAGTTATTTCTTGAATATTTTAAAATGAAAACAAATATCTTAATATTTCAAAAATCATTTTTATTATTATCTTACAGCATTCGGAAAAGCTTTTTTTAAGAGACTTTTCTCAAAGAACTGTGACAATTTAATTCTTCCAATTAATATAATGAAAAGTATTACATTTTCAGAGCGTATAATATTGAAAAAAAACAAAACATTTAAGAAAATGTGTTAGAGTCGAAAAACTAAATCTTTTACGTGTTTACATTATGAGTTGTATTGAGAAATAAGTGTCTTATGTTAGTAATTGTTGATTTCTCTTTGTGACGCGCATTATTTCTCTTTTTTTGTTTGTAATTTGAAATAGGAATACAATGGGATAAATCGTTATTGAAGCTGTCAAGAATAATTATTCAAATTGTATGAATCAAACACACAATAGCCATACATACTTAGACAAACGAGGAAAGAGAAAATAAATACAACGATGTCGCACGTTTTTCTTATATGTGCGCGAGTATTGATAATATTAAAGTACAATATAATATCAAGCTATTTTTATTACCATTGCTTATTGTTTATAGAGCGCGTGACCATTTCTAACGTTTATTGAATACAAAAAAAAAGAATAATTTGAGTCATATTTAGACTCTAAAACTAAGAAAGATGATTTTATAAATAAATACAAAAAGTAACAAAATCCGTCGATAAAATTTAATATATATAAATCAATATTTTAAACTCTGTTACCTGTATAATGACATAAAATGTCAAATACAATAATGATAGAGAGAAAGAAATAAAAGAAACGAAGTAAAAAAAAACAAATTTATTTTTGTCCATAAGAAAATTTAGGATCTACGTGTTGTGTCACTGATAATAATGAGGATTCATTTACGATTTGCACTGTTATTACTGATAGGTATGTTTAGACTGATGCGTAGCTGAAGAAAATGATGGAAAAATATTGAAGAATATGTTTAGAGCGAGACATAATATACTCATATAGAAGAATATTCTAGTATTCGTGGCATACGTCGACACCAACAATGTCAACCTTATTTACGCGTTGTAAATTACGCTGTGATTATCTAAAAGTAATTGTTTAATAGCCTAGAATAAAATATTAAATATGTCAACACATTACTTTAACAAAGACTACATCTTTTCATTCAACTAATAAAATTCACGTAATTTATGTCGACACTATAGGTGTCGACGTATCCCATTAATACCGAATATTCTTTGCTTGTCAATTATTTTTTAGTTTCTTGTTTATATTTAAATCTAATCATAGTAATAAATATTTGTCGTTCTGATTTTTGCAACACTGATGCTATTTTTGAGATTTTTTTATAGTCGAACTTGAAAATTTTGTATGTTCTATTTAAACAAAGTGAAGTAAACACAGCATGATTTTTTTGTTAGTATCGAAAGATTTACACAATCACTTATAAACAGGGGCGGCGCGAAGAGGTCGGAGCAGGGGGGGGGGCAGTCCTAAAATCGGAGAAAGTCAAAAAGTGTTCTCTA